TTCTTCCTCCCATCCTTCTTCCTCCCATCCTTCTTCCTCCCATCCTTCTTCCTCCCATCCTTCTTCCTCCTATCCTTCTTCCTCTTACTACCTCAATACACCCTTTACACAGTCTTTATACGAAAGCTTCATTACCGATCTATAGGTATATACACGGAAATGAAACTATTCTAAGCTAGATAATCGCTAACTTGAACCCAATAGCCTACACTGGAGCATACGAAACTTGATCAAAAGCTGATAATGGACATTCGGAACGAGCTGACACGCGACTGGCGACGACGGGGTTTCCCCTCCGTCCCACCAGCGGGAGTATCGTTCTTTATCGAGACCTGCCATGCTCTTCATTCGGGCTTCGGCCCCTACGAACTTGAGGGCATGATTAACAATGCAATTGTTATAACTGAGTCCCACCTGAAGCGGAAAGGTCTCAGCGATAGCACTAATCTAGCCGGTCTCGAACCTGGTCCGGTGACGAGCTCGAGAATCCGGGACCTTCTCGAGAAAATGGACAACACTATCGAGTCCATGCAAGTACATTACCGGAACGAACATAAAAAGCTCGTGGAGCTCATGGGGGGGATGCCGGACGTGTCTCTCGAGGAGGTGACTAGAAGACTGGGGAAAACCGTTGACGTAACGGAGAGCCAGCTTCTCCATGAACAGCTTGGAATCATCAACTTCGAGAAACAAGTCTCTGCGAATTACAACATGCCTCGGGCCTGAAGACGCTGAGGAACTCCATCCGGCAGACACTTACCGACCGAGCTTATAGAGGCAATAGCTAGTAGGTTCTCTAAGCTTAAGGCTAACCTAACGAGTATTATATTCGAGGAGGGCGCTAATAGTTATACTAGTTACCTATAGTATAATTACCCGCCTTCCGATATATACTTATAAAACTACTTTATCTTTTAATAGATAGCTTCCCTAGATAAAGCTTTTTAACTTTACTTTATTATCTTATTCTATCTTATATTATACTCTAGGGCTAGGAGAGGAGAGGAGAGAGGGCGAGGAGAGGAGAGAGGGCGAGGAGAGGAGAGAGGGCGAGGAGAGGAGAGAGGGCCAGGGCCAGGAGAGGCTTATAAAGGGAGATAAAAGCATTAAAACTAAGCAGGGTAAAAAGATATAGCTTAGCGATAAGGTAATAAGGAGTAGCTGATCAAGGAAACGGACATTAGCTAGACTCGTTATGAGGACCCCCAAGGGATAAACATTATCAATCCTACACTATATATTCAAAAACCTATCTTAATCTCAAGTGACTGCTTCGTTGCCCTGATCAGTTAAGGTCATCACTGGCCCTACTTCAGTATGTCTATGTCATGAAAGGTATCAGTTGTCATGGACGTGGCTAAAAGGCCGATATGCGATCATAATGCCCAATGCCAGGCTATGTTATGCCGGTATCTAGTCAAGAATGCCTGTACATTCATGTCAAGTCACAGTCATTACCTCTTCATCGTGTTTGCTCTGCGGTGACTGTACATGTCTCACGTGTCATGCTTGGTGGCAACAGAAAAACTTGGTCTATCATTAAGTTGATACATCTATTACACTCAACCACCGACGCTGCCATCACACGTTTATTTCGCAATTTCCACGCCGCCTGTGGCACCCAAGGCCTTCTTGATATCGCCGTACAGGGCGAACTGACCAGCAGTGAGAGTACCGACCATGAAGAGACGGGTGGGGAGACCGGCGAAGGAGCCGCGGACGCCGAGCTCGCCGGCAATCTGGATGAGGCGGGAGACGGTGCCCTGGCCGGGAGCGCCCTTGGACTTGTTGATCTTGGACAGCATGGTGTCGGCGGGCTGGGAGACGACGGCGGCGGCGAGACCGGCGATGAGACCGGAGGCGAGGTTGACCTGGGTCTGCTGGCCGGAGGAGAGGGTCTCCTTGGGGTAGGCGCGGAAGATGGACTCGGCGACCTTCTCGTAGACAACGAACTTGGCCATGGTGTAGGGGATCCTGGATTGGGTCAGTTTCTGGTTGTGATTCGGGGCTCATGCTGAAGTGTGAGGGGGGGTGGACATACTGCTTGAACAGGATGGGACCGAAGCCGGCGTAGAAGGCGCCGAAGCCCTCCTGCTTGGCCATCTTGGTGAAGCCACCGATGAGGCCGTTGGCGTAGGTGGGCTCAGAGACGAGACGGATACGGGTGGCCTCGAGGGGGCACAGGGCGATGTCAGCGAAGAACTCGCCGGCGGCGGCGGAGGCGAGGTAGACGGCGGTGCGGTTGTTGGAGGCGGTCTCGTAGCCGAGCAGGTTGATGCTCTGCTGCTTGAAGAACTCGTAACCGCCGAACTTCAGGGAGCCCTGGAGGAAGTAGCCGGCAAAGGTAGGGCCGAAACCGGTGAGGAGGGCGAGGGGGCCCTCGTTCTGGATGACCTGCTTGAAGCTGCCGATCATGCCACGGTTGTAGGTGGCAGGGTCGAGCTGGATACGGGTCTTGACGCTGTTTGTGGCATCGTGTCAGTCGAGGTGATCAGAGAGAGGGGAGGGACGCTACCGCTGCCGGCGTCGCGTCGCGAGGCCAAGCCAATGGCTTGCTGTTGCGAGCAAGCACGCCGGCCGGTGCGCGACACGGCCAACATCGAGGGAGCAGAGGGAAAACGTACACATCGACGGGCGTCAGGGCACCGTGGGTGACGGAGCAGCCAATGGCACCAGCCAGGGCAAAGCGAGCGTAGAGGTCAAAGCCGGTGGGCGTGCCAGGGACGGCGGCGGCCGCCTTCTGGACGACGGCATCGACCTTGGCCGAGCCGGTGGATGTTGGTGCGGAAGCCATGGTAGCTGTGATGTGTGCGTGTTCGCGAAGAACGAGAGAGAGAGCGGAACGATGAATCGAAGGACGGAGTGGAGAGGAAGGAATCACGAATGCCGCAACGAAGGGGGGATCGTGACCTTGAAGACTGGTGGATGGTGTGGGCTGGGAGGAAGGATGTTCGTGGAAAGGAGCAGGAAGTGACCCCGGCCAGGAGAAAAATGTGAGAGGCCTTTTTTCTGATGCTGGCGCATTGGCGGCGGCTGGGCGGCCTTTTCCTGGCAGTGACCACTTAGCCTGCAAGGGGCTCCACTGAAAAGATTGGCTCGGGAATACTCGGGCTATCCGGCGCGTCCGATCGCCCCTTCCGCCATTGAGCGCCTCCCTTCTGCGCCGTTAGTCATCGACGATAACGCCGATAAACCTCGAACCTCGCGCGGCGGACTGTCAATGACCCGGCATGCCCGTGCACCCGGCTTAGCGTCTTTATTTGGGCCCTCTGCACTGCAGTAGCATCCGAAGCTGGCCGGGCAACGTCATTTTCCACCGATGTCGTGATGTACTGTGACCGAGGCTTCGTGCATGCCTCCCTCGGCCAAGAGGTGAGGATGACAGAGGGAGGGTGCGTCTCGCCGAGTCGAATTACGACAATGTCAATTACCCACCAACCTGACAAACTATTCTATCATAGAATCCCTACGACTTACTTTCATATAATCTCTACGTAAGTCGCTGTCAGGAATCTCGACCCATCAAGTAATACAATCCACATGTACCCAATGCGAAAAAAAAACCATACCAGCCAGCGCCCAGACAACGCTGTATATCCAAGCCATTATGTACAAAGATGACATTCCAAGCCTTTTTTGACACGGGAGAAAAAAAAGAAGAAAATGACCAAGACAAAGTAGACACCTAACCATGGTGGCCGCCTCCCTCCAAGTCTGTACCCCCGTTCATGTCATGGCCCCCGTCAAAGTAGCCACCGAGGACGTCGCCAGGAAGGTACTCGAGCCACTGGGGCATCATGTCCCCCGGCAGACCGAGCGAGCCAATGTCGACGGGGTTCTCGTACGTAACAACGTCTCCGATCGGATTCATGCTGTGGTGGCCGAAATACGAGTAGTCCCTCTCCGTGTAGGCCGAATCATACATACTGGCCGATGCGTGATGGCCCGATCCCGGAGTCGTGCCCGTGAGCAGTGAGCCGTCATAATCCGACGTCTGTTGCGACGAGGCTCCGTACGAAGGGTGTGCAGTCTGCTGTTGGTGTTGTGGCGCTGCCGTTGCTGCCTGTCGATACGACGGCGCGTAGAGTGAGGACGGCGGCGCTTCCGGCATGCTCTGGCGGATGGGGTCGTACATGTGGCCCGACGACGTTGAGCGGCTGTTCTGCGCGAGGGCGTGATGGCTCGTCGGTGCCGACGATACGTGGGGCTGAGCGGCGGCGTTCGCCTGCATGTTCTGGTACATCAGTGTGAGGCTTGAGTTGGGCGAGTTGGTGGTCCCCGTCAGGGACCAGGCAAAGGGAGGCGCACTCGGCGATCCCAAGCCTTCGAGCCCCGAAAAGGGGTCCAGCGATCCGTGGCGTGTTCCCTTGGTGCTTTCGTACTCCTCGTTCGTATACGTTTCGCAGTCCCAGATGCCCTTGGACTTTTGGTCGAGGGCTGTCAAGATGTACTTGACACCGCCCCAATAAGCACACAGCTGCTGAAGCGAATTATGGCAGCGCAAGTAGTTCTGGTTCGCTGCCGAGGCCAGGAGCGAGTGCTTGGCCGAAATCCTGGCGCTGTCGTTCGGTTTGCCCCTGGGCCTGTTGCCCTCAGGGGGCGAGGTGGCCCTGGACGGTGGTTGGGATGTGTAAGCCATGGATTCCATGAGGAAGGCGCACGCCGCAATGTACATCGGCTGCGATGTAAAGGGGTTGCCGATGAAGCTCGTGGGCCCGATGAGTTCGGCAAAGGAGAGAATGTCAGCAATCGTCTTGGCGCTCGACATGGACAGCTCGCGACTGTTGGGCAAAAGCTGGTGGGACCGGTTCAGCGACCCAAACAGCGTGAGCAATGTTGGCTGATGCAGGATGATGATGAGGGCGTGAAACCAGAAATGAACCAGAATAAAGGTCGTGCCCTGGTTGGCTTTGAGATATGCCTTGAAATTGCTGACGTTGAAATGCAGTCTTGGGTCCTGGTTTTGGTAGAGCTTCGTGAGCTCGCTCTCCATGTGTGCCAGCTTGGCCCATTTGTCCTGCGTCAGATCTTTGGCGTGGTGGATGTTATTCAATACGTCGGACACGCGGCCGTAAAGATGAATGATTCGTGTTAGTGTTGGGTACGGCGCGGGCCAGCCCGACGCAGGGTGTATCGTTGGTGCTGGCAGGTCAAATTCGAAATCATCGTCGCGGAACGTCACCGGGCGTCCCGTGCCAGACGAGATCTCCCGGTCGAGCATGAAGACGGCCCAGAACGTGTCCATCCTCTCCTGCTCCACTTCCAGTTGTTGAGCACGGCTGACCGAGGCCTCGTCATCCGCAGCCTCGCTGGACTCGATGCTTTGTCGGCTCCAATGGCGGAGGTACCATGGATCCTTCTCGCCTTGGTACTTGACGCCCACCACCTTCTGCAAGCCCAAGTCGACAGCCATGCGAATGGCGAGGCCGAGATACATCCAGAGGGCACTGTCCTGGTTCGCGCCGAAGCCCTCATAGGCCATCATCAGCAGCGCCTGGACGGCACCCACAGACGGCGCCGGAAACGTGTCGACAGTCGCAGCCTTGGCGCGCTGGGCATACTGGACGCCGTAGTCTGACCTGGGCAGCTTCCCATCCCGCGCGATCTGAGGATGATCCGAGAACCGTGCCGACAGGGCGCACACGGCGTCAACGAGGATCGCCTCGACCTCCTTGCCCTCCACCATCCGTGTGAACCTCTCTTCCTGCAGAAAGGGAAAGTTGCAGCCCAGGTGAACGAAGAAGATCTTGACCAGATGGAGGATGAGCGGCGGCACGGGTTCGTCATCATTGATGTTGTAGGCCGGCAGAGCCTCGACGGCCACCTCGGCATCGGCCAACACGACGCCGTCTATGCTGAGACCTCCCTGGGCTGCGGCGGCGGCGGCACCCGCCGAGCTGGGTGACGCGGCAGAGGTAGAACCTGCGGTACTGCGCCGCCTCTCGCGCACCGAGACGACCATCTGCTTGTAGCCGGGGACTATGGCCGTGGGGCCAAAGTATCGAAAATAGGGCACTCGGTGTCTCGCAGGCTTCCCCTTGTGGTGCAATATCGGCGATCGGCTGGCGTTGCTGCGATTGTCTTCGGAGGATGGCGCGTTTGGTCGAGGACCAGCAGACTGGACAGCGTGTTTCTTGTTGTTCGCCTCATTTTGCGTCGACGATAGTTGTATGAACTCGGGCGGGTGCATGTCGGCGAGCTTTCGTCTCGGGCTCGGTTTCGTTGGCGGGTTGCGGCTCTCGACAGGCGCCACCTTGCTATCGCGCCTGGGGCCTCGGTCCTGCTGTGCGTCCTCTGCACCGTCTGCCTCGTCGTCGTCGTCGTCGACATCCTCTGGTGCATCGTCCTCGGCATCGTTTTGCGCTTCGAGACCCGACGCCGCGGCCCCGGCACTGCCTGCCTTCTTGTCAGGCAGCTCGGTGTAGCCCAGACACTCGTGCCCGTTTTTCGTGCACGTCGAGCACGTAGGCCGTTCGCCCGCGCATCGTGTCTTTCGTTTTCGACATGTCAGGCATCTGCGCACCACCGAGGATTCCCATCAGCAAAGACTTGTCCCATCGCTGAGTTTCGCCCCCCTTGTATGTCGTCATTCAGGCGAGGGAACATGGTGGGCGGGCGGGTCGACGCCAAACTTACGCCGCGTTGATCCGCCGCCGTTTCGACGGCGGCTGTCCCTGGTTGTGAACGAAGCGAATCTGCTTCGGTGGCGGCGCGGCGCTCATGGCGGCTTTCTCATTGTCTCGTTGTTGACGGAGGAGAGGGATGGTGGCGGGAGGGAATGGGCTTGGTTCATCGTCGGATCGGCGGTTGGAGGAGTAGCGGGCCAGCCCAGCACACTTTCATGGAGCTCATCCATCGTTGGTTGACAAGAGGGGTGGCCTCTTTGGTGGGGTCGTCGTCGCCTCGGTCCCCAGAAGTAACGAGTTCGCATCGGTCCGTAAGGGGAAATCGCCCTGTGTTTACCGCCGCCCCCCTCCGCACATACACACACACCGTCTCGTCGCGGATGCTACAGTACATCGGATGGTTCAGGGCTCTATTTGCCCACTGTGGCCCTGCTGGGCTTGGGGAAGGATACCCGGGATGAATTGCCTTGCCAGATGTTCGTGTCGTGGCAAGCAGGGGCCAGAGCGGCCTCGAGCGCCATCGTCAGTTTACACGCAGCATGGGGCACCCGAACGCGAGGGCAAATGACAGTATACATAGTTGTGTGTGAAAACAGAACACCCCAACCACCAAACGCCGCCCGTCCTGCCGTACCCAGAATGCCGCGCCCAAACTTCACTTCACCCCCATGATTACGCCGCTGAACCCACCCCCTGCCAAGCTAGCTTATGTCAATGAGCATCCTGCTGTCCCTGCAACCTCATTCATGATCCGATCAATGCCCCTCGCCCCCAATATGTACAGCCATCGAGTGCCCTTGCGGCTATCAACAGACTCATTACCCAAAGACGATCGTGACGCCCATGTCCTCGCTTACCCGCCTCCAGAGATCCCCGCCGTTGCTCATGCCGGCGGATAGCATCGTCTGATGCTGTGATAGGCGGGATTCGAGATCACCCTCGGCATCCATGAAATCGGACCGTCGCCAGACCTCCTGGACAATAATCCAGCCCCTCTCGATGTTCGTCATGCCCTGCCGGCGATCAATTGCCACGAACGCGTGCCGCGCCATCTCGCGATCTTCAGGGGTCATGGCCTCGCACGCCGCCACGAACAGCGGCCACAGCAGCGCAGCCATAGGCCCGGCGTGCGACACGGTAGCAACGCAGTGTTGCAGGCTTGCGTGCGCATGGCACTGCACTCGTGGGTGGTGTCGTGGGTGGCCGTGGATGTGGCGATAGAGGTGCACGAACGCACTCTGTCGGTGTGCCAGCGCGTTGTGAAGGATGCTCTGGAGGTGTGCTTGATCGGGTGATTCGGGCACCGTGCTTCCGAAGCCGTCCGCGTCGCCGGCCATCAGGTCGTCCACGGTGAGGCCCCCGGGCAGCGTGGGTTGCCAGTTCTGCAGGGCCGACTCGATGGCGTCGGCAGTCGTTTCGAATTCAGTGCGGAGCACGGCCAGCTTGGGCCCGTTTGACTCTGGCAAGGCCAAGGCGGCTTCCAACTCCTTCTTGAGCGACAGGAGGTTTGACAAACGATGGAGTATCGGCCAGAGCGAGGCGGACAGCCCAAGAAGAGTGTCAACGCCGTTTTGCGACGAAGGGTCGGTCGGGTCCGGGTTCGAAGAGGAGTTGAGGGAAGCGGCTGCTGGGGCTGTGGAAATGGGTGCTTTGCCAAAGGAGAGGGCGGCAATGACGTCGTAGAAACGGAAAGCCTGAGATCGGTCAGCAACAGCCAAAGCACAAATGTAGTGTGATCAACGTACTCGCTCAAGAAACGCACTTGTCGCGCTGGGTGGTTGGTCGTTCTGGCTCATAATGGTCATGGCACCCTTGAGATGACCATCAACGATATTCGAACGCCCGCGCTGGACCAGCTATGGCCATGTCAGTTTTTTTTTGTGTTTTTTTTGGAAGCAATGCCATCTGGTCTGGAGTACGAACCACTTCAAAGTACACTAGCAGCATGATGGCGGCCAGTAACTCCTCCCGGTCGGCCTTGGGTCCCATCTCAATCAGTCGAGCGAGGCCCTGGATGGCCTGGTTGTGAAAGTAGAGCGACTTCTCCTCGTGCTTGCCACTTCCGCGGTGCTCCAGGTGAGCGCTCGACAGAGCATAGATAGCATTTTGCACCGTCGTGCTGCTGTAACAGAGGGGCAGCACCAGTTGCTGGAACGGGTTGCCAGACTCGGTCTCGCGCAACACGATGAGATGCGACAGGACGTTGGCAAAGTGGTCAACAAGGGCACGCCTGTTGGCGCAATCAGAGAACTCGCTGAAAACCGGCATCAGGAACTCCAGATGCGGCGGGCTCAAGGGTGCCGGTGCAATCATGGCCAAGTCGGGATAGCGTTGGGCGCGGGTCACCGCCATGGTCGGGGGGGCAGGGCTCATCCGGACAATCTCTTCGTCGACATCTTCTTCCACTTCTTCTTCGATGGGAAAGTCAAAAGGCATATCCAGGGGCGAGATCAGCGGCACATCCGAGGCGGCGCTCCAGTTGACATGGAGAGAACTGGCCAATGCGTCCATGTCGTCGGCCACCGCTTCGTCTGAATCCCCCTTGGACGACGTGTCGTCGCCCTGTTGATATTCTAGGTGCTGGCTGTCGCCGTACAGAGACGGACGGCGCAGGTAGCGTGATTCGAGATCGAGACCCTCGCCCGGGGTCGAGTCACGCTTCTTCCGCTGGCGCGGCTTCACGGCTTCATAGGTGCAATCCTGGCTACGCTCCGAACAGCGCGAGCACTGTGGACGTGTTTCGTCGCATTTCTTCTTCTGGATCGAAGAGTCAGTACGTGGAATACACTTTCTTGGGGTGTATCGGCTCGGCGGTTGTGGCGTACCTTCTCCTTGCTTTTGCCATGTGTCAGTACGAGGGAGCAAACGGCGGGGACCGGGTTGAAGCTTACCAATATGTGCAACCTAGAGGTGCAAAGAAAAGCGTTTAATCAGTATGCGCTCCTTTACCAGATCGCATTGTTTCACGGCATCGAGTACGTTGTGTACCAATCTCGCAGCGCACGACATACCTGCTCGGGATCTCCTCTTCGGCGCCTTGGGGGCGGCAACCTTTGTAAAAAGTAGCATGTTTGGTTGGATGTGACTGCTGCCGGTTGCCAGCAGGTCACGACATGACGTTGCGAAGGTCGTTCAACTTTCGTGGACAGGTCTTGAGAGTTCGTTCAGGTCGGTGGGCGAGGTTGAGGAAGTCGGGATCTGAGGAGGCGTCGAAGGATTTGAGTGGCGGAAATGGCCCAAGTCAAGACAACGTACGTGGTTGGCACGCTGCTGCAGGGTTCCTGAGCAGAAGGTGATAATCTGGGGAAGCCGAGACGAGGGGGTCTCTGGCGGTCTAAATGTAGGGCTAGTGCGGAGCGATGTGATGCGAAAAGGAGAGTGAGTGTATGGTCTTGGCTTGCGGCGTCGTAGAGAGGGGGCCAGGGGATGGTCGAGGTATGACGGGTGTGGCTGACAGATTCGTATTGGATGGTACGGAAACTTCGTGATGGAAGCCCGGTCAAGGTTCGTTTGACGTACTGGTTCGGGGAAAAGGGCGAAGAGTCGGGGGCGGTAGTTGGAGATGTCGAGGAGAGAAAGACTCGGCTTCTGCAAGGCTTTGAGGGAGGGGCGTCGGCATACCTGACAACGCGAGGGGGGGGGGGGTGTAGACCAAGGGCAAAGGAGCAGAGGGCAAAGGACAAGATGAACCCGGGCCTAGCAGGTCAAGGGCGACGACTGGCCGGGCAGGCCATCGTGATTTGTTACTGAGCCCATGCCGAATTGAAAGTGAGAGTGTGAGTGCACGAGGGGGGCGCGCCAGGTGGAGAAGCTTTGCGGGGTTGCACCATGAGACGGAACCTGTGGGGAACCAGGGAAGCACAGCGGTTGGCTCTTAGGCGGAGGATCCGCCCATGAGTCAAGCACATCAGCGCTGCTTCGACGGTTCCATCTCTCACAGACCATGCAAACCCGCCCACAGTGACCCCTTCTTGTTTATTGGGGGATTGAGCAACCCGTCTCCAGACCCTGATCGGCGCCGTACTGTAGAGTGCCTGGAGACAGCCCCAAATACGCACTGCGAGTATGCAGCGGCGAGGAGGCGAAACATGGTTTATGGTTCGGCTCGGTGCGCATCTGTCGACCGAGGCATCGGAGAGGGGAGTAAAGGCACGGAGCAACCTGCCTACCTTAGGTCCCTAAGGTAGACAGGCATGTACCGACCCAGGAGGCATGTCACCAACAACCCACAGCGCCATTCATCAGTGGTCAGTCATAAAACAGCCAGGGCGTGACTGCCAGATTTGTCACCCACCGAGCCTAGCTGCATCGTTCAGAACAGTGACCGCCTAGGGATGCCTGACCACCTGGAAAGGCACAATGACAGGAGGAAATAGATGTCTGTGTTCCCGGTTTTTCGGACAACCGGCTCGGCACCGCAGACCAAGTCAGGTGCCTGTGACTGATTCACAACGCACTCACCCACCGTGTGCTAAGATCCCAAACAGGTAGCTGCTCTGCTCAGGTAGGTAGGTGGAAGTGGAATGGTAACAGATGGTAGCCTACCGAGGCGAGGGGACGCACGGGTCAGGTCGGTAAAGCCTAGTAAGGTTTTAGAGCAAGACAAGCGTGCCTAGGTATGGTAGTAGTGCTGGTGCCAGTGGAGGCTCGCCGAGTTCAAGTGCGGGCCCCCTCTGGACTGGAGCCTCGAGCCTTCAGTGACGGGAGGAGGGGGGGAATGGACGGAGCATGTCCCCGCAGACCCCGCACCACCCCAAAGGACGTGCCCGGCACGATCAAGATCAACACAGGGCAGGTCCAGGCTGCGCATCGTTTTCCCTCCGCTGACTCGACCTGACGACGACGACAACGACAACGACGACGACAACGACAACGACAACGACAACGACAACGACAACGACAACGACAACGACAACGACGACGACGACGACGACGACGACGACGACGACGACGACGACGACGACGACGACCATCACCAGCGATGAACATCGGCCATCTCTCTGGGTGAAATGATCGTTCGATTTGAACCCCTACTTGTCAGAACCACATACGGGATCGCTGAACGCAATGCCCTGCTGTTCGTTCTTGCCACTTTTTGACGATTCTTCTCCATGGCCATACTGATGAGTAAGTATATAGGGCCAGCTCATGCGAAAGCCATCACAATGCCCGTTGCAATCGCGGCATGATTTCCGATTACGTTGTATCTCTCAACATCTCAGACAGATGAGACCGCATCATGTTGCCACGAGCGTGGAACCTCCTGGCGAGGCGCTCTCATCGTCCAGAGCACCAAGTTGACAAGCAGACAAGCGTGCGCCGCACAGCATTTGGCCGAAGATGTGTCTTCCCCAAAGATTGTTGAACCTTCCGCGTCCCCAAAAACGAGATCCATGCCTTTATTACCTACGAGGATGGCCCCCAACTCTCCAATCCTCGTCATGTTCGCTCTCCTGCACAATGGCACCAGATGCAGCTGCGATTGGCCACTTTCCCATGCGCCCTCCAAGAAATGTCGCAATTCCCCCCGAAGGAGCCCGAATCAGCATGTTGTGGGACCATGGGCAAAGTGTGAATGCCTCATCGAACATGGCTCCTCAATACGGCTATCGAGACACGACTTCACGTGCCATCTTGCGCGCGCAGTGTCACCCTATTGTCGATCACGCTGGCCGCCTGCTGTTGGTTGGTGCTGTCGCGTCGTATCCCCTTTCAGCTCATGGTCGCGTCTTGTCACATTCTGGTCTTCTTCAGTAGATTTCAGATTCGATTTGTGGGACTCAAGACTACACGGCGCCGGCAAAACTCGCCGACACAGATGATCATTCGATTCCTACGCTGTCACTTAATCGTCGCTCAGAGCCTTGACCAAGCGGCAAAGCGAGATTGTGGGATCCGTCTGACCGTCAGCCCTGCTGAAAGGAGCAATCGCAACCAAAACATCCTGGTCCTTTCCCTTGCATGGTACCGCCAACTGACAGTCTCGCTCATACGTGGTCCGGTGTTGGGCTCAGCCCCCAGCTTCATGCAGGTTGCTGCTATCTTCGACACCCTCCCACCAGACACTGCCCGACCCAACTTGCCAGCTTCACCAACATAGCAACCCGTGAGCCTCTCCAGTGTCACATCAGCGGTACAGCCTGGCGATCGCATTTCGGCATCACGCGTCCCTGGATCATATAACGGATGCGACAGCCTGGACTAGGTGTTCCAGCGGCTATCACTCTCTTCAGCCTCTACCCCGCAGGCCGACCACCTGTGCGACCTCAGCTGGGCCGCAGCCTTGTGCGACCTTTGGACGCTGTTACTCTGGATCGCTCGAGAACATTGGGTTCGCCAACCGCTGCGGGAAACCATGCGACACTGCTCCATCTGCGCCGTGATCTCTCTGGTCGCATTCTATGCAGGAGGTTCTAGCGCCTTGGACGTCAAGAAGAGAGACGGTATTCACAGAGTGGAAAAGATACATGTGACGATACTCGACAACATCCAAAGGAGAGATACCACAGCCTGCCCAACGAGCTATCTGTTGTGCCCGAGCAGCGCGAGTGGCGGATGTTGTCCTGAGGGGTTCGGTTGCGCCACCGATTCATGTTTTGCGTCCACAAGGGCACCACAAACATGCCAGGGTCGAGCTGGCTACTATCCATGCGCACCAGATCTTGAAGGTATTTGGAGCAGCTATATGCGAGTGCCTGGCTTCTGCTAACATTTGGACAAGGTGGGTGCTGCCCGGAAGGCTATCTCTGTCAACGAGGGGCCCAGTGCGTGGTCCCGGATGGCGTTTCGTACTCGCAGTCATGCCCAACAAACTATTTCCTCTGCCCGTCGTCGTTGAATTATGGCTGTTGCCGCGACGGCATGGGTTGCGCAGCGAGTGCCTGTTATTCCACCGAGCCTTCTACGTATAAGATTACGAGGACAGTCACGACTACGAATGCGGATGATGAAGAGGTCACAGTGACGGAGACTGCAACAACCGTTTCAACGCCGTCACAGCCAACAGTATACCCGACCGGTGCGATTGATCAGGGCGACCAACAGGTTGTCTTCAAGTTTTACCCTACGTCCCTGCCCAAAGTCGAGCCCGAGGTGACTAAGGATGATGATAACGGCGGCAGTGGTCTTTCAACAGGAGCCATCGTCGGCATCGTCGTTGGTGTCGTCGGCCTCCTGATCATCGTGGTGGCCGCAACATTCATCATCCTGCGTCATTTGAACAAGGTCGTCAAGACAGTGGTTGAGTCCCAGCCGGGAACTTCGACCGGATCCAGAGCAGCCAAACCAAAGCCTTTTGTTTCCCAGTGCCGGGTCGCTGATAAGCCTACGCCATCCGAGATGACCAGTCCACGACCTTCAACCCGCAGACTCGACTCAGACTCCAGCGGCGCCATCGGACTCGGCGTCGGTGTCGGCAGCCCTGGCTACGCATCACCCCCTCTGGATACTCCAAGCCCAAATGCGCCAGCCGGCTACCAGGCGGTGCCGACGACTTCCGCGGACCGTCACGCTAGCTACGATTCCACCTTTCAGGGTGGCGTCGGTTACTTTGACATGCCCTCGGAGCAAGAACGTCGACGACCATCTCAGCAGTCGGGCATCTGGCCGTGGCCGTCGGGCGCGCAACCGCAACGCCAGAGCACCGACTCGCAGACCACGCAACAAGCGTACGCGCAGGGTCACGGACGTCAGTGGAGCAACGCCAGCGAACAGAGCAATCCCAGCGATATGGTTTCGCCCATTCATCAGCATTTCGGGGCGCAAGAGCTGGATAGTGCCAACGCCATGGTGCCAGAGCTGCACGCGCAGTCCGCTCCATCGACTTACCCCCCGGAGTCACCGGTAGACCCACGGCGCAGCATGGTCAGCGCAATGAGCTCGACCGTCGCATCGCCGCGGCAGCCAGCACCTCATTCCCGAAGGCGGAGCGGTGAGGGGAGAACACACAGCGACAGCGTCACGGCCGCTCAAGCGCCATTGAGTGTCGTCACGGAGGACACGGAGTTGATCGGGCACTACGGGCCGCCGGATTCTGTCGTGGGACAGACGGCCGCCGGGCATGAGGAATGGGTCCAAGAGATGGCGGGTTCCCAGGGCTGGGATCAACCACAGCAACACAAGTAGATCGAGGGCTGTCAAAGCCAGCACATGACGGCATTTTGACTAACACACATTGAGGTTTGGTTAAGTTCTGGGGCGTTTACTAGGTGACATTGGTCAAGCGCCACATATGAGGGAAGGGATGTATTCGTTGACGATCTTTCTCGCTGTAGCAATGGCCCGAGAGGAATAATTGCACAACACATCGTGCGCTCGTACCCGACGTAAAGCAGTTCCCCTCATTTCGGGTTTCAACGCGTGACCTGGTCATTTAGTATTTTGGCTGCCTCATGACAATGGGCGGGAAACGATCGCAGCAGGTCGTGGTCGTTGCCTCGAGCGTGATGCTCCATCATGCAAAAGCCTCTCTCGTAATGGAACAACAAGAACGAGAGTACAGGCTTTGCGGTTCTCTAGAAAGCATGTAATCATCTGCTCCACCGAAACTCGCTCGCGCCGCCTCGCTCCCGACCTGTCAATACACAAGCACCAAGGAACCAAGTCTTGGCCCTCGCTCGTGCCCCGGCGTAATACCTCGCATGGGTCGCGGGGTCTGGGGTAAAGCAGCAGGAATTTGCCCGGACCCGGACCGACTCCAAGGGCTAGACGGGCTACCTCATGTCGTGGGCCCAGAGGAGCGGGCTCGACCGATCGGGTGAGCTATTGGCGCAGTTGTGTGCCTGGCTGCGGCAGAAAGAGGGGGGTGCGGGAGGGCGAAGGACCGAGAGCTGACCGTTGCTTTCTCGCATACACACACTCACACACAGATGAACGCACATCCTCAGGGCAATGTATGCCATCTCGGAGAGAGGGAGACAGAATGGACCTCTGTTAAGGCAAGGTGAGGTCATTCCGGTCTGTCTAGTTTGGCCCCGCCTCCTTTCCCCCCCTTCTTTTTTTTCTGCTCCCCTGTCCTTGTTTCCGTTCGTCCAGACCGTTTTTGTTCAATTTTCACCTTGTTAGATTCCCTGCGAGTGCTTGAAGGGGAGGAGAGGGGTATGAGTTATGAAAAGAGGTGCCGCCCTTGGCATGCGTAGCAAGTCGGCTGTTTTATTTTTGCCTCCCCCCCCGCCTCCTTCTTGTCTTTGACGTCCGCTCACGTCCCTGTCGTCCCTGATATCCGACATGCCTTTCCGTCGGCTCGGCGAGCGGGTGTTCGGGGAGCGGGGTGAGCGAACTTGTGCCTGGCATGGACTGGGGGGGGGAGGAGGGCGGGGAGAGGGAAGGGCATTGCAGTTCGAAGCGGCGAGGGTATTCATTGAGTGGTGGTGATTTCGGTGGTGACTGCTCCGTGGCCACGACGGGGATCCCTGGGAGGGTGGGCCCCTAGGTGGCAGGAGAATGAGCTGGGGTGAGCAGGGGTGTGGGGGAGGGGGAAAGATTGTCTATCTCCAGTCTTGTCGCTGTTCTACCGGTTTGTTTGCGGAGTCTAAGGGGAAGCTTGGCTTGGGAGTGCGGGGGAGAATCGATGCCGAGACGGGGTAAATGGGAGGCGAGATGGAACGGCGGTGATGTGCCGTCCTGAGTCGTCAGTCTTGAGTCTTAAGATTGGGAATCTGATGGGTTTGCGTCGATTGGTCCTGATGAACGGGAGTTGTGCTGCTAGTATGACGCTGGACGGTCGTGTGTTGCCTGGGCCAGCACTAAGTTCACGGTATACGCCGCTCCATACGATTGGCAGTCCCCTGGTTGCGTGCTGGTGATCCATATTATAATGCTATGTTCAAAGGTCATTGAGGATGGAAGCAAGTATGTTTTGCTATCCTCAGCTCCCTTGTCAGGGCTGCATGGTTGGATAAACTACAAGGCAACACATCGACACTGCACCCACGGAGTCGCCCATCGTCTAACACATACCCGATCTCGCAGTCTGCGTAAAGTTACCTCCCTTAACCCTAGGGAACTCTGCCCCAGAAGATGGACCCTCATTTCGAATCAACCTGTCTGGGGTAGATCTTGAGTCGACACAAGATCCGGGGGCAGGAGGAGAATCTGGGGATCACCGAAAGCCCACCAACCCCATCCATCACACAGGGTCGGTCCCGTACGCATTGCGGCGTCGCAAGAGGCTTGGAGCTAGGCATTGAGATGCCGCGGACAAACAGACGGTAGATGGTGAGGCTCTGCCATGTCCACCTTGGTGGGGGGAGGACAAATTTTCCGTTCACACAGATGGTCGCCTAGAATTGCCCAGCGCCGCCAGCCATGTGCCTTTGAGACCCCATAGAACCCAAGCCTCACCTCAGCATCAGTTAGCCCAGGCCAGGCCGCCGAACGTGGTGTCGGGTCAGCCCCAGCCGGGCGGACGAGCGGGTGTGAGAGGAAACGACGCCGGTCGCGAGACTTGATGCGAGATGTCGGCTGCCGATGAATGGAGGAACGATAGATTCTCCGCCCCGCCCCAAGAAAGCGAGTGGGTATCGTCGCCATGGCCTTGGAGGCAGGCATACGTTGCGTACGGGACACGGCATGCCCTCCCTCTCTTTGATGAACAGCAGATGTATACGTACACACATCGTCGGCTAGCCAGGTACAAGGCCCAGCGCAGACGGGGGCCAGGGTCGGCAAAGTGGACTGGACCGATCCAGGTTCGAGCCGTGTCAAGCATGCGCCTCTCTGCGCAATGGAGTCACTCCCGATGCCTTTCCATCGCAGCAGGTCCCTTTTTGCTGCTCAGTCGGATGTCGGAAATGCATGTCAACCGTCCTTTTCGACCTCCCCCCTCCCGCAGATGTCGCTCGCCCTCGTTTGGCGGATTGCTCAGCTTCGAGCAAGACGTGCACGCACGTGTTGGTACGCCGCTGGAGCCCGCCAAGCGGCAGTGGGCGACGGACGAGGATCCACGGCAGGGTAGAGGCGAGGGCCGTGGCCCACGTGCAGCGGCGGCTCGCGGGGGCTGGGGGCGCAGTGCCTGTGTATCGTCTGTGTGCGGTGCCTGTGCCTGGGGCCTCGGTAGGGGAGGGGGCGACTATCTGTAGGTCTTCGGAGATGAGCTGCTGTGGTGTCAAGAGAATCAGGAAGATCTGTCCGAGGAGCTATTGACGAGAACCCCCTCGTCGCCTCTGGGGACTGTTCGAATTGCTCGGCGGCAGGCATTAAGTACACCAAGCCTTTCATCGCCTAACAGGTGCATGGGCAGCTTTGAGCGACAGAAATTCGTGGGCGACATTGTAAACAACGTGGTGTGGCCTTCTCTTTCGACTGGTGTCGTGACAACTGCCAATATCGGAGGGCGGCGATGTCATCTTGGCATGGAAGCATCGCAAGGCCGACGAGGCGTTATGGGCGTTGTCCATCAGATGCCATCCACGTGCGAGACGGCCGCGATCGCATCGCTCCATTGCGCGCGCGCCTACAAATGACAGCCATTGAACCAGGCGACACCCGATGGCGTGGATATGACGATACCGGAGGGCTGGCCATATCCGTTCAATCAGTACACTCGATCAAATCATTCAGTCAATCAATCAGTCAAGCCAGCCAGCATGATGCTGTCTTCATGGCGCGCCACGACCAAACGGTCGACGCCCTCCGCCCGTATCAGCAAGAGAGGCGCCCTTTGGAAGGTCAGAGCTGCCTCTTTCGGTGAAGCTCGCCCAGCCCTCTCAACCTCTGTGCGTTGGGAACGAGGGCGGGCACAAGGCGGGCGATCCACAGATTAAGGCCCTGGGCGACTGGAGGGGCGGGAGGGGGGTTCTCTCTCGAGGGACGTGAGTCGTCGCCCCCGGCTACCGGCTGTACTACTGATCAGCAGGGTCGAACAGTGCTTGTCGACCTTCCAGAACGGCCCAAGCTCGAGGCGGGTGAGCAAGTTCGAGGGTGTCATAGGTCCTGGGCAAACAAGGTGAAGAGGAGAGGAACTTGATCCTCATGACTAAGAGACGAGGCTCTCAAGCAACAGGGCAACATCATGGTGTGTTCACGTTCATGATGGCAATCAAATGCACGCGTTGCAGGACATGGTTCCTGCGTCTGTTTTTGGTGGCACGTCGCACACGCGTACGTCAGAAACGTGATAACGTCGTAGCATCTCTGCAGATTGGCGATGCGAATGACAGGTAGGCAACCGGGATTGATCGATGAAATGGTACGTTTTCCTTGTGAGCTCGTGTTCTCGCTCTATTGTTCTGGTTATTTGGCTATTCTTCAGGGGCTTGTCAAACAGTGGTGGGTGACACTAATGAAGCATGACAATGTGCCGAAAGTGTAAGTTAATATCACGACCTTATTTATTGCCCCTCTTTGCGAATACGTGACGACCCGGAAGCTGCGTCAGGGAGCCTCCAGGGGCGCCTTTGAACGTTCTTCAGGCTCTTCGGGCTTAGTCGTATCCCCCGAAGCCAACGTTGAACCCCCTGGGAGAAAAACCGTTGCACAGTGACTGAATCGCGCGATGAGGCGTTCGTTAGGGGCTCCAGGGCCCGTCAGGGAAGCAAGACTCGTCGCGGCAAAACAAGTCCCGCTCTCGTTTAATTCAACCGGCTAGCTACATCGTTATAAAGTTCAATGTTAGCAGCATGTTACGTGACGGCAAGGCCGGATAGAAAGATCCTCGGAGGGCATCACACATCTCAGCTTTGGCAGAAATTGGAGGCAGGGCAAATAGTCGCTTGACGCTGTTCACAGCACAACATCTCTCAACCCAGAGACTCCAAAACTGGCTGCCATTCAATTCAGCGAAACAATGACAACACCCGCCAGCGATCCCCCTCTGCAAATCACTGCTTCAACGGCATAAGATCGGCTCCGCCCCAGCCAACCCAATCGGTCGGTCCCATCCAGGCAAGGCAAGTCGTCCAGGGAGGGGGGGGGGGCACTTCAGCCATCTCGGGAGCCGGGAATCGTCGCCTCTGGCAGCAGCTTGTTGGCGCTGCTGTTGAGCCGTGCCTATCTGCTTGCTTGCTGCCTTCCGTGTTGGACCTTGGTCCCCCTTGGCCTCTTCACCCCCTGTCTCTACCTATTACTTTTAACCACCCCCAGGGCCAAGACCTGCGGGACGCCTTCTCCTCACCTGCGCCGCCTGCTTTCCCCAGCTTCCTATCCGAATGAAGAGCAGACTGTGACGTTGCGCGGCCTGCGTGGTGGCTTCGGGGAAAATGCCGCGAGGCAAGAGAATCTCCTCGTCCCTGCACAACACAACGCTAGACACGCGCGGCGGATGAAGAGCAACGGAGAAGGGCAGACATTACGGGAAACGAGAAACGGTGACGATGATTTTAGCCACTGGCGCCGCAGCTTGCAGGCACGAGCACTGGGTTGCCCAGGCTGGTGCGCTGTTTTTACCGTCCCGGGATGAGTTGAAGGCACGTGTAGAGGCTTTCCAGCATCATCATCGCAATAAGGAGTACATCAATTACGGTTGTGGCAGACACGCACACGCTATGCATGCTCTTGTCGAGTCAGCTTTCGGGCACCTGGTGTCTTTTATGCCTCGTGGGCCAACGCCCGTCATATTTGTCTCTCTGCCCGTTTCTCCGACTCGTATGAACCGGGGGTAGCAATTGCACTTCACAAAGCCAAGCAAGCAAGTTTATCGTCCGTGTCGGCCACCGCCGATCCAGGGGACGCGGCCCAGATAACAATGGGATTTTTTGTTCGACACCCATACCCCAACCTTCACGCTATCGACCGAAGCCAGGTCCGAATAGGCAGAACAAACGGGCCGCTCGCCGTGCGCCTCCATGGACCTCCCCCCTTGGCAAACGGGGGGTTGCAAAAACGGTAGACCAAAGAGGAATCTTGACCCACGCAGCGCATGCCAAGCGGCACGTTGCCGACAAGGAATCGATAGCGCCGACTGGTACAGATTTTCGCTGAAGAAGCTGCCAGTGCTTGTGTCACCGAGGTCGGGAGACAGCCAAACCCGAGGCCAGCCTTCGAAGAACTGGTCCGGCTTGCCGCTATTTCGCACGCCGTCCAGGCACAGCCAATGCCGGGAGGAGTGGAGGATCCTAAGCAGCGGTCCGTTTTCCCTTCTTCTTCCCTTCGTGTGGACGGCGTCGACTTTCCGTTCGCCTCTTCGTAAACCGTTTGCACAGGAAACACACAAGTACACCACCCCTGGATCAAATACTAGGTTGAACCTGTAGACCCCTCGGACTAGACCCGGGCCAGGAATATGTACCCTGTCGATTCTTTCCAAGCTTCCCCGCCCGTGATAAGCGGCCGAGAGAGCGAGAGGAGTGAGCGAGAGAAGCAGGCCAAGCAGAACCCCCCCTCTTCGCCCCCCCTTGGGCTAGGTCTCTTTCTGGTGTCCGTGAAGCGGCCGAGTACCTTGCCTGAACCGACCTACCCCCCCTGGCCTTAGCCTTTCGCCTCCCCCCAGATCCCATCCATCCGCCTGCCTCGATGTGGCCCACCCCAAGCGCAACCAATCCAACCTGCCTCATGCGGATGTTCCGTTTGCTGATAGGTGGGAGAAAGGTCCCAGACTGGGCAGTACGAACCGTTGGTTTCTCCCAGGAACACACGCCTCGAGAACCCGTCCGCCGCCGTTTGTACCGTTGTGGAGAGTACGCTCCCGCCCAGGATGCTACTCACGCCGTCCGGTGGACTCCCCTCCACCCTTCCCACCACCACTTACTCCCCCCCCCCTGGACTTCAACCCCATGTCCATGCATGGGTTGATGATGGGCTGGGCTCATCGCTGTTCGGGCTGCTCATGTCTGCTTGCTCGCTCGCTACTACCATAGTGTACAGTCAGTCTCTCTCCGCTTCCTCCAGTTCACCCGTCGACCCGCCGGCCGCCGTCTCTCGCCCACCCAACGGGTCCACGAGGGAAGGTGGTGGTGCGCCTCGTCCTGGGTGTGTGCTGCTCCTCCTGCTCGTCTCCTCCATCCATGGTCCTCGCTCTCTCTCCATGACCACCCCTGTCACGGCACCGGTTGATTAGGATTATATATGGGCAGCTCGCAACCCGCTCCCACACCACCCTTTTCCTTCTCTTCCCTCCATCACCGACTTCCTACCAGATCAATCTTCAAGCCAACCTCCTTAGGACCTCAGTCGATCGACCTGCCCCGTGTCAGCATCACTTTCACCCAACCGTCAAAATGAAGGCCGCCGTCATCCTTTCCCTCGCTAGCCTTGCCTTCGGCTCGGTCCTCGAGCAGCGTGCCTGCGCTGGCAACAACTGCAACCGTCAGGTCACCGGTACCCGCGCCGGCCTCCTGCCCCTCACCGCGCGCCAGGCCGACTGCTCCAGCTTCCAGCTGACCGTCGTCACCCCCTCGCCCACGTACGTTTATGAGTTGCCTTTTCCTTCTACTCTCTCGAAGATGCACCGGTCGAAATTCTGCGGGAGCCAGCAAGAGGAGGATATCAAGAGGGGAGGTGGCATGAGAGGGACAGGGAACCGCCCAGACGTGGCTTCACAGGACATCGGGAGCCTCTAGATCACGTTTTTTCTCTCAGCAGCAGACAGACTTTCGAGGAACCGAACAGAACACTAACACACATCGCAGCACCGTCACCGTCACCGTCACCGAGGAGCCCGCCGCCAAGCTCAAGCGCAACGTCGTTGAGGCCCGCCAGGCCACCTCCGTCCCCACCAACGTCCCTGCCTACGCCTCGTCTTGCGACGCCGTCAAGTACGCCTCTGCTTGCGACTGCTGGGGTATCACCGCCGCCGTCTCCACCGCCCCTACCCCTACCGTCACCGTCACCACCACCGTCGACTACTGCGAGGTGAGCATCATCCCGTCATCGTGACTCCCCCTTGATGTCGACCCAGCAAAGCTAACAACCGCCGCAGGACCTGTAAACGGCTCGCCCGTCGGTCTAGTGTTCGAGATGGAGCGGAGCGGGTGAGAAGTCTCCCTTGCGGCCCACGCCTCTCCGGCCGTTGTTCATATGAAACCTCGGAAAGGGGGTTCTTTGGCTCGGAGGGTTGTCGTGGGATGTTGCAGCGGGGATGGATCACACGGGGGGGCAACTGGTGTGGTTCGAGAATTGTTACGATTGCAAAGAAAAACAGTTATGACCTGAATTAGCGAACGCTGGGCTCTCCGCGCGACGAAAGGCTTCACAGGCCGGACTCGGCGGATCCGCGATCGCTATTGATATCACATTCGGTGTAATGATTATACAAAAACTAATTCACCCACCTGTTGCCTTCTTTTACATATTGTTTCGCATTTGCATGGCTTGCTGGAACGAGTTCTGCTGAGGCGGTCACTTACAGTGTCAAGCTCATGATATGACGATGACGAAAACTGTTGTGAAAGTGCTCAAGAAAGTCTAACATGTTGGTTAATACACAAAAAGGGGGCCACCACGCAATCGAGACAAGAAGAAGACGAAGCGAGCGAGCTTAGTGTGTGTGAGAAGAGTTGCAATCGGAACATGCCATCTCAATCCAATCTCACCTCGCTCAGTTGGCGCGGGCGGTTCGGCGCTGGCCGGGGGTTCCTCCGAGTTGGCCGGAGTCGATTAGTCTCGCCCTACATGTACATGTGTTACCACTGGCGAGTCATTTACCGCGCCAAAAAGCTAACTCCTGGAGCCTGAGAAGCTCGTATCGCCACTGCAACGTCGGCCATGTTGTGCAACATGGGAGCGCCCCGTCCGCGTAACGCCTCGCGGCCTCTCCGTCTGTTCGGCACAAGGGGCATGATCGTATCAGCCTCAGTTTGCGACGTGAGCGACCAATGTTCCCTTTGTCTTTTACGTCTGACCATCAGTCCTTTCTCAGATCGTCTTTGTTCCCACCCCCGGTCTTCCTCTCCCGATCCCCGTCAAGGCGATGAGCGGCACGACCTATTGTCCTGACCTGGATCACTCGACCATCCCCAGCCGCCCGCATATCCGCGCCTGTAGGCAATGCAACCCCCTCCGGAAGCATTGGCCATTTCATCCGAACCCACAGCCGCGCCCGTCGTTCTGTTCTGCGTCCCCCCTCTCGCGTGGTTCTGCTTCAGGGGACAAGACACTCACACGACCCATCTCTCCCCCCTTCTCCCTTGTCAATCAACAAGGCTTGTTCCCGTCGCCCCCCCCCCCCCCTCCCCTCTCCCCTGGACCACACATGTGGGCAGTGCTGGCTGGGTGCAACTCCAATTTACCCAGAATTGGCTCCCCCCTTCCCCGGGACACACTTACCAACGGCCGGGCCTACCTCTGCGCAGGTCATAAATGGTAACTCGTGAGCCGTGGGCGTGTGAAGACTGCGGAGGCCCCCATCCCATCCCAAGCAACGCGATCCTTTCCAAAAAGGATCTCCTTCCGTGCCTTCGCAGCATTAGCGAGTTTGCGGGGGGAGGGATCTGGTTTGCGTCGACTTTTGATTTGTTTTTTCCCTCTTGTCCCGTCGGTCTCTGCATGGCGATAGCCCGACAGCCAGGCACAGGATAGTCCCAATCGACGGCATGGTGCGCAATTGGAAGCGCCGATTCAATCAATCGAGCGTCGCTTGCGAGATGGCCATGCGTCTCCCCCTCCTTGTTGGGGGGGAAGTGGTATTGACGGCGGGGAGGGGGGGTTTTACGCTGCCGATCTCGAGGTGTTCATGCAGCTCTCGCTCCCCCTCCCGACTTTGCGGAGATGGCCTCTTTGCGCAGAAGGGTTGCTCGGGAACTCGGTGCATCATGCTGCGCAACCTCGTCCTGCTGCCCGGATACCGTCACCAAGTGCTCTGCTGTAGGTGTGGTCGCTCGTCCGAGTTGCGCTCGCGAGTAGTGCGGCATGAGACTCCTTGGGGGATCACCAGTTTCTTTGCCCACCCGCGTGCCCGGCGGTGCTACCTGCTGTCAATTGATCGCTCGCCATGTCGCAGTATGTACTTGTGTTCAGCTGTGACGGCTGCGAGCCGGATCGGCGTCTTCTGAGGGGCAGACTCCACGTGCTGCTATATCATCTGCAGGCCACCCGAGACATTGTCTGAGTCTCGTGCTCGGGGCAAAGACGATCAATCGCGGAGACGGCTTGCGCTCCAAATTGTCCCAGCGGTCGCTGGCTGATTGCTGCGCAAGTGTAGTTGAGTTGGCAGCCGTGTCTGATACGAGTGTCAAGCGTCTTTTTTATACTTACAGAAACACAAGGGCAACGATACGGACGACAACGACAAGAATACTGCTACATTTCCAACTTGAGTACGAACAGCCTGACTGGTCGGTCGCATCTCCGGTCTGAGCTATGTCTCCATGAACCCCCCTTCGCACCCCGGGTTCAACGTCCATTCAAACACTTCAAAACGTCGTCCCGCCGGTCCTCGAGGTCTCCGATAGACTGAACGATAATGACATTGCTGTCCGGCCGGCACGGGCTCTCCATGCGCTCCCTGAAGCGCGCCTCGGCCTCGGCCCCGTTCTTGATAGCCCCAGCATCGCGAGGCGCGACGTCGATGCCCGTCCTCTGGCTCCTCAGCGGCACCCTCGCGCGCAAGCGCCGGTCCAGCACGGCAAGGTCGTCGACCCGGCACTCGACATACCAATACTCGTACCCGTGCTGTTCGGCGAGCGCGCGGCCCCGGCCCAGCGTCTCCGCGTAGTTGCACGTGCTGTCCATGACGACGCTGCGCGCCTGTCGCATGGCGTCTTCGGCGAGCGCCCAGCCGATGCCGTAGGCGAGCTGGGCGGCGCTGTCGAACGCGGTCCCGTGCGCGAGAATCGTCGAGCGGATGACGTCGTGGTCGAAGACGACGGCGTCGGTCGACTTGGCGAGCAGCCGGGCGAGCGTGCTCTTGCCGGAGCCCGGGGCGCCTGACATTTGGATGTACAGTCTTCGTTGTTGCGCCATGTCTGATGTGGTGTGCGGTGAGGGTTTTGGTTCCTGTGATTGTGACCAGCATTCGGCGTTTCTTGTATCGTATAAAGAATGACGGTGCGATGCGGAGTTGAGGCTGAAGCCATTGCTGCCTAGCACTGCCCCGCGATGATCGGGGAAGTGGACGATTGCGATCCTGCACAGTACTCTCATGCTCAGTGCACTTTTCCTATGCCAAATGCTCCAAAACCAGAATGTTGCCAAGGTGTACTCGAAACAGCAGCACTGTCAACCAGGTAGAAGGTTAGAAGATGATTTCTTATCCCACTTGAACATGATGGAAAGATCAATCAAAAGCTGGCCCTTGATTTGTTGTGTTGTGCAGCTTCAGACTGTCAAGGTAAAGATGTGTATGCACAGTATACCAGATGCCTTGCTTCGTGTACTAGAGTTCATAATACTACACTATCATGAAGATCGTCAAACATGTTTTTGTTTTGCGCTGAACTGGACTGTCTCGCCAAATGCGCTCTGGGCTTCAAGACGCAATTATGAACTCGATCTATTGCCTGATATAGAGTGCATGCGTTGGAAGTATGAGCATTCCTTCGATGAGGTGTGTAATGCTGAGCAGAAAATTAGTGTCCGTCTCAGCATCCAGTGCTGCGACTCGTACCATGAGATCTATTTTTGGCGGCTTGCCTGGGTTCAAGTGAAGGAGGAGAGTAACCACCAAACAGTGAGTCCGCAAAAGCAGGCCAAGATGCTCGATCAAATGCATTGCTCGGCGCCGCAGGTGTCCTCTCTAAAGCTGTTGTCCATGCCCATGAGACCTCTCAAACTCTACGCAACTAGGAGCCATGAGGTACATCAGATCGGGGCACTCGTATGAGGATGCTAGAGCGTCTTGTCCAGGGTCTCTTGAAGCCTCTTGTCCAGGGTCTTCTGAAGCCTCTTGTCCAAGGTCTTCAGACGCGCCTTTCCCGGTTGATTGCTCAACCTGACAGCCTAGTCCTCAAGAGTATCCGGCTCGCCTCTTGAGAGGCCTAGACTCTAGCTTAGAGGCCCCGTGAGCCTCGGCCGCGGACTCTGTATCTTGCCGTTCTTGTCGCTCTTATCACAGAGAATCGAGATGATACGGGCCAGTATGTGGAGCGTTCGCCTTGATACTATGGGCAAGAAGCTCCAGCGTGGGACTGTAGGGGACCTTGATGCGGGTCATTCGGTGCCAATTCATCATTCTCGGTTGTCTGACTTGTATTACGGGCATGTATTGTCGATACAGGCTAGTAGAGGACAACTCGGATAGATTGACTCCAGGTGAGGTCAGACATACACCAAGCGGCCCTTTTGTCAGACCTTGAAATTAGTCGAGAAAGATCACTCCTCATATTGAGCATTTAGTTAGATGCAAATGCCTTATGGAACACGTGTGAAGGCACAACCCGATCGGTACCGCTGCCGAACATCGTTTCAAGACCTCAGGCAAGGACCAGTCGTTCATCCGTCGTAGCCCGGCACCGCGAGAGAGCTTAAGCGGGAGCCGTGGCCCCGCCACTCTCTACGCATCTCTATAATCAACATCACGGTTCGGCCAAGCCCCGACATCTGCCATCATCCCCGCAAGGCTCCCCTCCTGACGGCCCCACTGCTCGCGCACAAACGCAGACACCATGTCGGCGCCGTTCAGCAGGGCGCCGCTCGTCCACAGCTTCCCGTCCCGAACCCAGCGCTTCTCGAGCCACGTCGAGCCCGGGTTCGTTTCGCGCAGTTGCCCGAGCATGAAGCGCGGCGCCGTGACCGTCTTGCCGTCGAGGATGCCCGCCTGGAGAGGGGCCATGAGGCCGCCGCAGATGGTGAGGAAGGCGGCGCTGGCGTCGTAGGCTTTCCGGATGTACGCGAGCTCCGCGGCGCTGGGCGTGTAGCTGGGATGATGGGCACCCATCAGGACAATGTCGAGGGGCGGACACGTCTCGAAGGTGTCCTGCTACTGCGTCAGCGGGCGGGGGGCACATTGGAGGGGCCAGGGTATTGCGAGACACGCACGGTTGGATTCATCGATATGCTGCTGGTCAGGCGACAGGGACGGTCCGTCTCGGAGACCCAGTGGAACTCCATGTCGAGGGCCTGGGCTTTGAGCTCGGGAGGCAGGAAGGCGTCCGGCATGGGGTCGGTGAAGTGCTTGCTCACGCCGTGGATGAGGTCAATGGGAGCAACATCAAGGATCTCAGTCTCGCTGGCTTATCATCAGAGGGCAACGACTTCTCGAAAGCCATTGGGAACGGAGAGTTTCGACTTGCCTGTTGAGCAGAATGACGCCAAGATGGATGGTGCGGTCGGGCTTCGAGAGGTTCAGAGCAGCTGCCATGCTGGGGAGTGATGCTTGGAACGAAGGGTAAGATGTTCAGCTGTGTACTGGGGTGTCTTGTCGAATGGAATACCATGCTCGACACATTTTTCTCTGTTATTTTATATTCTACACTTATCACGAGACATGCTAGTTGCGATGAGTATTTTGCTTTCTGTTCCGAGCTGCAGCGGTGGCCGCCATGCTAGTCTCTTGAGCCATCGTGTCCAGCGCTAGGATGCGAATCCTCAGGCTTCATCATATGTACGGGAGAGGAATAGAGGCCCCAGAGGAATAGAGGCCCCAGAGGCCCCAGAGCCACGCCAAAACCGTCTGACGTCGTCTCGGCTTCGGGGGTTTGGTAGGTTGCAAGTGTCTCTTGTAACTCTGGGGCTGCTCGGATGCTCCAAGGTATGGCGTTGAGCATCGATACACCGGTACCTAGGTACTTACCTAGGTACTTACCCAGGTACTTACCCAAGGAACCTTACCTAATCAAGATACATAAGGTAAGTACCTGCCTACCTACATTGGCAGGGCCTCATGCATGTGAATGAGAGCGATAAGATAAAGGATCGGGGCCCACATTCGTCGGCCCCGATCCACAGCAGACACACGCTCACTTCGAGTATGTGTTGGCATGCAAATCGCGATCCTAGTGGTATCAAGACATAGTCTGTTCCGACGACGTCCATCGGCGTCATGTTCACGGAGAAATCAGAGTTCAAGAAGCGGTCTTTTCAGAGAGCCCCAATGTGGCCGTTGATGATGGCGCCATGCGCTGGCAGATGATGATAGGCGGGGACTGGGTCGATTGGCGGGGCAACCAGAGTAAACACAGCGGCGGGATGCGCCTGCCCGCCTGCCCGCCTGCACCTGCACCTGCACCTGCACCTGCACCTGCACCTGCACCTGCACCTGCACCTCTGCCCAACCACCTGCGCTGCTGGTACCTGCACGCGTACCTGTACCTCACCGCTCTCGACCAGACATCAGACCTTGCCCTTGCGGCACACACTCCTCAGCATTGCCATCAGACGTTCCCTCGTCCCGCCGTCGCCGTCCGACACAGCTCGTTCGCTGTACAGATACACCGACTTGGATCTACAACCCCTCGAGACTAGCTCTCTGACTCGTTGCTTTTTGCTTTTGCCTTTGCTGTTGCCGTTGCCGCTGCCGTTGCTGTTGCTGCAGACAACCGCCCGGACAACAAACACCACCCTGTCCGCCCCTCCACCACCTACTCCCACGGCTCAATGCCTCGAGCTGGCTTTAGCGATTTTGACTTTGACATTCATGTCGACCCATCCTGCCTGCGCACGCCCATGGAAGACCACACACCTGCCTCCCAGGACGACAGCTACAGGGCCGAACCCGCAACGCCAGCAACCGATGGTACGAGCCATCAGCACGAGAAGGCTGGTCTCGTAGCCAGTTTGCCCCATCAGTCACAGGACGACAGCCTCGACATGTCAGCCCACGACCCGTCCATCGACACGGCAGACTTCGCAGACCACGACGACCGCCGCGTCTCGGGTCGAACCGACGCCCTCATCCACGCCGCCGCCCAAGCAGTCGTCCATCAGATCGAGCGCAACCGCCATGGCGAGACGGAGGAGGAACACTCTGTGCTGAGCTCCCACGTCAATGACAATGACACGGTGGAGGGGACCGAGGTCAGCTACGTCACCGAGACGGACGGTGACCGCCGAGACTCGCGCGACTCTCGCAACTCGCGCGGATCCTTCGTCTCGGAATCACAGGCCAGCCGCCACGACAGTGATTCGCATGACGACCGCGCCGGCGACAGCTCTTCACACCACGAGGCCGACTCGGAAGTGTTCAGCGACCGCAGCGCCCGGAGCTCGCTCGGCTCCTTCGAAGGATCTCTGCACAATGGCATGAAGCTCCTCAAGAGGAGCCAACACGTCGACGACGAAGACGAGACGCGCACCGAGCACTCCCGTATCTCGGACTTCTCCCATTACGACCCACGAGAATTCCAACCTACACTCCGAAGCACCCCACGCCCAGCGTTCCACTCCACCTCAGACGTCCGCGCCCTCCAAATGTCCTCGCCTGCTCCCTCGGTCTTTGGTGGCTCCCCTCGATCCTCGAAACGCCCCCACATGCCCACCATCTCCCGCCTCGGCAGCCCCTCCATGTCGGCCCAGTATTCACCCAAGGGCCGCACCACGCCTTCCCGCCTGAAGCCCCGCAAGACGACGCCCCCGCTCGTGCTCCTGCACGCCACACTGTTGCCGCTACGTTGGCCCTGGGCCGATGTCCTCGAGGCAGCACCGTCGGACGTTCTCTCTCCCGAGGCCAAAACCTTGCGTGACTACTGGCGCCGCCTGCACGACCGCCTCGACGACACCGTCTGCGACCGCGGCGTCCTTCTACCCCACCCTCAGAACGACTTTGAAGTCCTCGAGGAGCGTCTGCTGGACGCCCTCGACTTGCCCCTTCGCCGCCGTGCCCGAATCCTCGAGTGCGGACATTATCTCGGGCCTTCCAACGAGGCAACCCTCACCGAAGATCTCGACAGTGAGGAGGAGGACGAGCCGGAGCTCCGCTCTCGCCAGAGCAGTTCACTCCCGAGGAAGAGCCTGCACGGGCAGACGCACTGGTGCACCACCTGCCATCACGAGATCAAGTTTGAGCCCCTGGGCCCCGGCAAGATCTTCCGCGTCAAGGTGTACGCCAGCAACGGTCTCATAAAGGCGGGTGCCTGGGACGCCTGCTGGAAGGAGATGGAGCGTGTCGACGTTGAGATAGAGCCCATCATCGAGGGTGGCGTGCTGGACGAGCTGGAAAGACTTGCCATCGAGCAACGAGAGGCTGCCGAAGCCGCCGAGCGCGAGGCTGACGAGGCCGCTGCAGCCGAGGCCGCCGAGGCTGCCCTCATCGAGAGCTCCATGATGGAGAATGGCTACACTGAGCATGCTGCTCTGCCAGCTCTGGCCATGGCATCACCCCTCCCGGCCATCAGCCCTGCTGAGCCAACACCGCTCTCCTCGGATACCGTCTCCCGTCATGACCAGCTCGAGGAGCGTCGTTTCCGTGACGAAGCCCGTATGCGCGAAATCTACGGCGACACCCCTCAGCCAACCATGTCTCACGCAGGATCAACCGAGCCGACTCCGGACAGCTATATCCCGGGCCCTACCCCCGTCTCGCCGTCAGAAGAAGCCCGTGCCCGACGTGAAGCAAGGCGTGAGGCCGCTCCACCGCCCCTTCAGAACGCTTCTCTCCCCGAGCTCCTCCTCGAGGCCGCACGCGTGATGCTGCAGGATCGGAAGAATGTGGCTCTCGTGCTCTTGACCTTGCTCGTCCTCTTCTTGGCTGTCAAGCCGCCTGTCCGCGATGACATGCGCATGTACGATTGGGAGAGCAAAATACCTCACAACGATGCTGGCATGCCCGAGGTCGTCGAGATCAAGACAGTGGCCGCAGCACCGGCAATCCAGCCAGTCGTGGAACCTGCTGTTCAACCTGTCGTGGAACCGGCCGACGCATCCTCATCCGCAGTGGTCGAGCCGAACACGGCACAGGATCCCTGCCAGACGCCCAGCGCAGCCACCGCTGCCGACGTCAGGCCTGAGGCTGGCGCTCCGGTCGACGAAACTGTCACCTCCCGCGAAGTCGTCCGTGTCGTCGAGACGGTCACAGAGACCGAGACCGTCAAGGCCTTTGTCACAGAGGAAGCACCGTCCCCCTCGACGGTGCCCACCGAAGCTGCGCAGCCTGCACCAGAGGAAGAGCAGGTCCAACTCGAGCACAAGGACGCTTCAGGAAGCGGCTCGTCCGGCGACGCGCCAGCGGCGTCTGTCGTCGACGGCGAGGACGATGCAGAACCGCGACTCGTACCCGAAGAGGTCGAGGCGTCTAGCCTAGCGTTCGAGCCCGAGGTCGACACCGAAGCCGAGACTGGCTCTGCCGACGATACCGTCAAGCAGCAGCGCCAGGAGGAGCAGCATGGCGAGCAGGACAAGCAGGAGCTGTAAGGCTCAACGGGATATGACGTTATGGATGGCACGGATTGTTTGGCATGATGACGACTCGCGAGGATACCACAATTGCAACAGGCCGGCGTGCGTGCGAGATGGACAAGAAGAAATACGACAACATTGGCCCTCCCCCCCCCCTTTTTTAAATCATGGGACCTCGTCGTTTTCTATTTCTTTGTAGATTTGTCTGCTGACGACCGCGCTCGGGCAGCACACGGCACACATGTAGCGTAGTAATTAACTGATGATTCCACCAATGTGCCCCGCCATCCCTGCCCGTCCAATCTGTCTCTTCACATGGCAGCATCCAAACGAGTGCGCCTGGAAGTTTCGTCTGTCACAGGCATCAAAGGAACAATCTTCGTGGGTAAGGGATCGTCGATCCGCTCTATTGATGTTACGACTACGCTAATCAGAGACGCCAGTCTCGCAAGTCCTTCACATCCCAATCCCATCCCGCTCATCCATCTGGTATCGTAGACCCCGCTGAGGGTTTCCCTCCTTCATTACAGTTGGCAGCCCCCTTGGGCCGCCAAAGATGGGATATATGCAATGCAACATAACCGCACAACAAACAACCTGCCCTTTCCGCCCTGCTCGGCATCCCGTTCCTCCCAAGTCATGTAAGTCCATCCCTCTCCGTCCAGCCGTTGCCCAGCTCCCCAAGGCAGCATGTACGCAACCCCATCAGGGGCGCCTGGGGCCCGGCCCGGCTTCATTCCATCATCCTGCGTATAATCGTCACAAATTGCCCATCCCCATCCGTTGCACCGTCCGCTCCCTCTGACAATCTGTGCAATGAAGAAGACGCCCGAGGAATAAAATAGAAGAAAGAAGAAGAAAAAAGAAGAAGTGGAAAGTAGAGAGATGAGTGGTTGGTTCTCTCGCAGGCTCCGTCCTGCGTTCCTGTCCCGTTGGCCCTTCTTGGAAGAGGGGTCCGGTGATCCAAACAGATTTGTTGAAGCAAAATGACCTTCCCAATCTGGTGATGCCCTTTGGCAGGGCGTGAACGAAGCACGGCTTGAAAAGGAAAATGTCCGCGCCAGTTCTACATGTTTTCAAACAGTCTGCCTCCTCCCTGATGAGAAATCTCCGCGGCTCTTCTCTCGAGTTGCCTGCGGTTGCAATATGATTGCATGCTGTCTGATGCGATGAGGTAAAGTGAGACGGCCGTCTGCCAAAATGCAGATGCCCTCTCCGCGTCTGAACGCAATGGTGGCGCAAACAAAGGCGTTTCCATGCCGACTTGTTTGGCATGTTGGTTGGTAGTAGAGAATAGGTAGAGAAATGTGGGGAGATTTGGTGTGGTTTGAAAATACTCGGTTGGTTTGTGCGTTCACTCGGGTTGAGATGACGTGTCATTGACGGCGTATCTCTTGGCTGTCTCGGTGCTGGCTATACTAGCGTTTGTATCCCTCCGGCGTGGTTTAAATTGAGGTTTGCTGATGCTGGTAGTGGGGGCCTTCTTCTTTTTCGCGTTGAACATGAAAATGCCATCACTGTCGCTGTCATCATCATCATCGTCGGCAGGTCGCATCTCCGGCGTTGAGGCAAAGCTCCGAAGCGGGCTCGGCACATCAAGCTGAACCGCGATGACACCACTATCGAAAGACTGTTGCTCAAGGTGTTCAATAGGGAACCCGGCAACAGGTTCCTTGGCGAAAGCAGGCGGCGTCAGAGAATCGGTCGTCTCTAAAATGTCGGGGCGACCGCTCAGAGCTTTCGAGTCAACAGGTTCAGATTCTTGATCAGCCGACACAGAGCTCGCGCCGCTCAGAAGAGCGGGCAATGAGGGGTCGGAGTGGAAGACAAGCATCTGCTCCTTTGATGGGCATGCACTCGACGACATGGGGCTGGCAACTTCGCTAGGACTGGTGAGCGGTGTCGTCAGACCAGCCATTGACGTAGATCTCGACGACTTGCACGTTTCCATGGTGCTGCCCCTGGACACTGGCGGAGGGTTCTCGTCATCGGGCGATGGCGGACACGGAATGTCGGCGGGATCAAAGACGGGCGTCTCTTTGGCGTCCAACAATTGATCAGTCAGGTTACGCTGGTATTCGTCCACCTGCTTCTTGATGAGGCCCTCCTTAGCCCTGGCAAAAGATTCGGGTGTCGAGGTGTTGTATGACCGAGGCGGCGGCGTCTTTGCGTCAGGCACGTCCTGTGGGCGATCCGTGCGGTGTGCCGTTGCTGGTCGTTCATCGAACAAGGCGGGACCCTTTCGACCGTCGAGTATATTCGAATCGGAGTGAGGTTGGCCATGCTGATATCCAGTAATGGCTTGTGATGAAAAGAATAGTGGCGATGCGAGTGATGGGTTGTTCTCCCTCACGGCCTTGCCCAGATCGACCGAGCGTACAGGTCGGGGTCGACTCGGTGTCCGGTGGACGGTGCCGGGTGCCATTGCGTTGCTGATCCCGACCTGAGGTGCAGCACGCTTGTCAGCGCTTGCAAAGAGGCTGCGATCGACCGAGTGAGACCGAGAGGCATCGTCCAGGCCATGTTGATCAACGTAGCGCTGTTTCTTAGGTTCGTACATCGCAGCCGCGGGCGATGAAGGGACAGTCTGAGAACCGGTCAAGGCAGCTGTCAAAGCCAGGAAGCTGTTGCCGATGCTGGTGTGGAGTTGCTTGTTCGCTGGCCTGTAGATTGAAGCACCACTCTTCTTCGAGTCATACGAAGCGGGCCATTCTTCGTTGCTAGCATCCCGAACGCTCCTTCCCTTCTGACTTGACGATGCACTCTGCGAAGGCTGCGCGATGGCAGTGGCAAGAGGATCGTACGCCGAGTCAGAGGGACTGGCATCTACACTTTGCGACAGAGGGTGATCTGGCGTAGCAGAGTAGATACCGGCGAAGTAGTCATCGCTCTTGAGACTTTTCCGCCGCAGATCCCGCGGGTTGGTGATGGGCACGGCAGCATGGGCAACGTTGCTTTCACCGGCAGAGCTAGCCACACTGCTGGTTGCCCGTTTGCGTGATCTGCTATCACCGCGCTCGCTGACCAGGGGATGCATGACCTTGCCGACGGCCTTCTTGACGACCGAGCGGGCCCGCTCGAGGAAGGTGATTGGGACGACGGCATGCGCGGTTTCTTTGGCGTCAACTTGCACCCTCCGACCCTGTGATGGGCGGGCCGGGTCTGTTTCGTCGATCCAGGCAATCGGGTTCGATATTCCCTGGACAACCCAAGGATGGCGCTTAATGTCACGCAGCCTGACGCGCTTGTCTGGGCTCTTGGTGAACATGAGCCTCAAGAGGTCGTAGAGTAGATTGTCAATCTCTTCGTAAACAAGCTCGTTGTCGTCCCGATAGGGTTTCTTATTCTGGCGCTTGTATAACGAGTTCTCGTCGGGGCTGGTAGAGGGGTCTACAGGCCGCAGGCGCTGGCGAGGGATGAAGACGTCCTCGGTAGCAATCTTCTTGAACATGGCCCACTCATCTTCTGCTTGAAAGGGGATGCGTGCGAAAACAAGGCAGTACAAGGTGACGCCAAGGGACCAGATATCAATCTGTTCAGAGATCCTCGGCTGCTCAACGCGGTCCGCGTCGGTGTAACAGAGCTCGGGGGCGAAGAAGGCAGGTGTGCCCACGGTCTTGGCCAGTTCAAGATCGTCATCAAAGTCTTGGGCCTCCGACTCGGACACGGCCTCGTCGTCAGGCTCGCCATCTCGAATGGGGCGGCCAAAGTACGAGACACCAAAGTCGGAAATCTTGACACGGTGATCCTTTGTCCACAACAGATTGGCCGGCTTAATGTCTCTATGCACAACGCCCTGGTAGTGCAGGTACTCCAAGCCAAGGACGGTGTCTCGGAATACAGACCTTGCTTGTTCGAGAGTGAAGCAAGGAACGTAAGAAAAGTCGTCAGCGAAGGGGTCGTGGGTGCGGGGGTTCCAGTCGATCGACGACATGTGGGAGATGATGGAATCCGCCATGCTGGGGGAGCGGCCACGGAAAGCCCGCTCCTCGATATAGGCCCCATACATGGTGCCGTCCAGGGCCGCAGAGGAGCCTTGGTTGCTCGAACGGAGGGGGCCGGGGGTCTCCATATCGCTGCCGTCGGGTGAGGCCGAGAGGTCCGGGGGAGGTTGGTTCATCGACTTGACAGACTGCGTCCTGGAAGGGGCGCGGGATGTGGCGCGAGAAGCACGTAGCGAGCTGGGAAGAGATACATCGCCGGGCAGTCTGTCGAAGAGGGCGAGATCATCGTTGGACGGGACGCGGGACTGAGAGGCGTTGCTGCCGTCATCGGCAATGCCGTGTTCGATGCTCCAGTAGTCGTGCGGGCCTGCGTTCGCCTGCGACATCTTGGCCCTCTTGAGGTCCTTGATGGCCTGACGCCTCTCAAGGAAGAGGTCATATTGTTCCTCCTCAGGAGTCGGGGCTTCACCACGCATCTCACGCTCGATTCGGCGGCGTTCATGCATGCAAATGTGTGGCAGGCCCTTCTTGCGCCAGACAACCTCGCCGAGCTCGACGTGTTCGAGGATGAGGTAAATCTTCTTCAGCTCGGGGTCGTCAATGATTTCGAGGAGGGAAACGACGTTTGGGTGGCGCATCTTCTTCAGAATGGCAATCTCTCGCATCGTCTTGTCCTGGGGGGACATGGCAGCAACCTTGCCTAGGCGTCGGCGCTTGGAGTAGCGGGGAATGATCTTGATGGCCACATTGTCGCCCGTCTCGAGGTTCCTGGCCAGCTTGACCTTGCCGTGCATGCCACGGCCGATTTCTTCGATGACCTCATACTGGTTGATGAGTTTCCGGCCTGTGATGCTGTCTGAGTCGATCAGGGCTTTGTGCGTCCTGCGACGTGTGTTAGCAACAATGCAAGGTCGAGACGAAAAAGAGAGGATTTCGGCGGCTGAGTGTCCGTCTACACGTACTCTCTAACTTTGTGGTGCTGAAGCGGATGGAGGTAGGGACTGGAAACCTCTTGAACGGGAGTGTTCGAGTCGGAGGCGGCATGACCAGGGTAGTTGTGCCTCGGGCGAG